TCGTATTTGAGCATTCTCGCTATTACTAACATGATTAAACATGTTTTTGCAGGGCCTCACTGAAGCTGTTACCTACATTTTAAGCAGTCACTAAATCTTGAGTAATTCTACTGATTAAAAAAAAAAAGAAGAAATGGCCATTGAACTGAAGTACTTCATCAAACCCCACTCCAGGTAAAGTGAGTTTGCAGCTTGATCCTTCATTTCTTAGCGTGGCAGGCTTTGGATATGAAAGGAGCTGCTAATTGCACCCCTTAAGAGTCAGATAACATAAGTTTTGATTATAACCTACTGTGCTCACAGCTTCTCCAAAACCTCCTTTAAGAACCAAAATTTCCCGTTTTTGGATTCAATCTATAGATGACATGGATGGAAAAGAAACGTCAGAGCAATGTTATTTTGTAGTTAAAGGAAGCATTCAGGTAAATCAGCTCACTAAGAAAGGCTAAGACACAACATGGTACACGAATACTCCTTACCCCTTACAATTTCTATCAAATTTGTGACATGTACCTCTAGTACGCCCCCACTGCAAATGCTCAGAAAACTTTGCAATGGTCAACTGCGAAAAATTCCACGTTTCCCCCCAAAGGTACTGCACTCTGTGTGTTTCACGATGCGCATTTCAGCATTTCCACAGCAGTACTTCAGCATTTCAGTTAAATGTTTTCATTAGAAGTCTGATGCATTTTGAAGTGCAGAAACGTGTTAGAAGTGTTAGAGAATGAAGTGCATTTTTGGGGGTCAAATGTCTTGTCTCTTGTCAACCCCAACATTATCATTCAAGATCTTTTCAGATTCAAAACCTGAAAATTTTATTTTGCTTCAGTCTGGTGATTATTTTTTTTTCCAAATGGTGCCTGAGCTGGAAATACTTTTAATGGCACAATCTTCAGACACAAACGGCTGTAATTCAGAAGCTCTGTAAAGATATTTATTGAGTATCTTTTCAGGACTATTGCACATACCATATCCTTCAGAGCTAATTAATTTAAAAACATTGCAGAATAACACCCCCCAACTAGTTACATATAAATTAACACATAGATTATTAGGCTATTCATACTGTAGAGTCCTGTTACTGTGCCTATAAAGAATACAAGCAAAAAAAATTGTAGTTCAGCAAAATTAGTGATCATATATAAATAAACATCTTAAAGTCACCAGTTGTTAACAAAATCCATACTGCACGGTACTTTTACAGTAAAATCTTCTTGCCACAGAAAATACCGAAGGCATAAACGAGATGCTGACCAAAACCGGACAGCAATGAAATCTGCACAAAACCACAGTGAAGGCAAAAATAACTACAAATGGGCAAAAAACCCCCAACGAACCAACGACACTCTAACCAACCGGTCAAACACGGTGCAAAGTTAGTCTTAAAACAGGAGAAGACACGGTTGTCTTCCCTTCCCTGAAACTACAGTGCGCTCTAGCGGCTCCTCCAAAAAGGGCTCCACTTGCTCCTTCAAGAAGTCTCGTGGAGTTCATGGTCCTCTCTACAGCATCCAGACCACAAGAAACCCAATTGTCCAGATTTTATTCCGAGCGGGGAAGTATTTTGCCCTGCTATAGACGTGAATTCCCCATTCTTCCTTCTCTAGAAACCCGATAGGAATAGTCCTTCCAGGAAAAGCAGCTGCTTTGCTTCCCCTGGGTCAAACGTTGCTTTTGATCTCCATGGTACCTGCTAGGCACGAGCAGACAGAGTTCAGCGGGATTGTGCCCTAGTTCTGTTCAGGCTCACAGCAATTCAACAGCGCTGGGTGTTGCTGCTGAAAATGATACACCCACAGAAAGAAGGGAACACTGATTGTCCATCCAGAAATGTACTGCTTGCTCGGAAGCCTCACGCTCTGACAGGCACAGGGCACGAGGAAACCACGGAGAAAGGTCCTTTGCTGTTAATTCTCTTATTCTCTACTCATGATTTTGCCTATGTGCACTGAGGACTATTTCTAACTTTACAACATTAATGCCTGCAGCTTCCCTATTACTTCTTCTGTTCAAACTCTTCCCCATCAGTGCAAACCCTCAGGTAAATAAATACTCCATCTATTCTGACTTCTTTCTACTAAGGTAAGTGCTGTGGGAAGGAGACTCTTCGCCATCAGTGCAAATCCTCAGGTAAATAAATATTCCATCTATTCTGACTTTTTTCTACTAAGGTAAGTGCTGTGGGAAGGAGAACTGTAGGTGCAATGCAGCTTCCTAAATCCCAGCGATAACACTGTCAAGCTGATTTAACAAGATTAATGTAAAATAACAGTAACAAAACACGGAATGCAATGCAGTCGGACAAGATGCACCCCATCAAACTGCGAGAGGGAAACAGGCAATGATCCTGTCTGAAACAACAATGCTGGCTTCTGCACCACCCTGTATCTGAGCGGCACCGGCAGACCTTCAGGCAGACCCACTTCGCAAGCCATCCCTGCACACAGAGCTTGCCCGGGGGAAGAGCAGAACAGTTACCTCTGACTGCACACCAAAAAGGAAAAGAAAGAGCAGCTGCTAAGGATCCTGCAAGAGAAGAGTTAACGGAGGAAATACTGATGACGCAAAGAAAGGAAATTACAGGCTGAGTAGCAGCTAGAAAAATGGGGCAAGGAAATGCTGCTGAAGCCAGCCATTTAAATGACATCGTCAAAAAACAGAGCCTTCCTCCACGGGTGGAGAATTCTGGCTACCAGGAAAGTTATTCATCTCCAGGCAGGAGCTGAGATGCGTTCCCAGGTCCCAGAGTACAGACATAGCCCATGTAGACATCACATCAGAGCGCTAAGTGTCAGGGGTGGTGGCTTTGTCCACCTTTATCGCGCTAAGTTAATGTTCAAGCTACAGACCCACTTCCTGGTTAAATAACATCCAGAGGCCGAGACTCCTTTTGACTCAAGATAGGCACAGTTTCCAGAGCCTTTTACTTCAATCCTGTTGGGGAAAAGTAAAGACATAATTACTTTGATGCCCACAATCAAATAATGCAATAGAGCAGAGGGAACTACGGGGATCACAGGTTCTCTTTGTACAAAGCCGGATTCACCACGGGCAAGGCATCGCAGGAGGATGATAGCTTGTGCTTTGCAGAGAACACCACAAAGAATGCCTTTTTTTAATGGGACCCGGGGCCCAGAATACAACATCTAGGACTTGCAGTACTCCTGCATCTTGTCTAGTGGTCGCTTAACGTGAAATATGCCCTTAAAGCAGAGACTGGAATTCAAGTTTGCCCTTCTCAAGGATGCTGCGCTATCAAGACGGGCTCCACCTTTGACTTCCACATCCTTCTATGCATCACAGAAGCTGTGGAACAAATGCCTCTCTCATTTCCCTCTTCCTCAGAGCCGAACACGGCACTGTGGTCAAGTGGGTGGTGGAAAACAGGAAGCGAACCTCAGGTCCAACACTGTAGGTATCCCTGTGTAAGAGGCAAGGGTCTCCTTCACCAACTCTGTTTTCAAACAAAGTGTTGCAGTGGTCTCTGAACAGGCCGACCAAACCAGTGTGGTCTCTGGAAAAGCCAAGGGAAAAATTGCCACTAGTGTTAACACAACTCTCGCAGCAACTGAGCTTAGACACCGAGGCGTTCGCCCTTCCAAAGACAGGAGGGGCAGTCTGAGGCAAGCACGGAGACAGAAGTCTAAGAACATGAAGAACTTCGTCACTGAAAATGACAGCATCGGTGGATGTTTGTATCACAGGCAGGGCATATGCAAGAGCGGGAAGTACTGCAGTTTTCAGCTTGAGATGCCTATGTGCTGTTCACATCTCACACTACATGCGTACGGTCTTTATCAGGTCAAGCCCTTGTCTCGGGGATGAAATGACTGCAGTCACACGCCCCTAGTAATGTCACAAACTTAAGAATACTTCAATTTTCCACTTTTTAAACTAATTTCAGACTTCTGAAATCTCCATGCTTATTACTGTCACTGATAATTCTACCAACTACAGCTGGCAGCTGCCCCAGGACGAGAAGCAGCAGTCTCTGAGAAGATGGGATAGTTGTCGGTGGGAGGGACAAACTGCCCCGCACCTGACACTGGTGGGACAGAACGCAGGGCCATGACCACAGAGCAGCTCATGCAACACAGACTCACAGCTTCACCTTTCCCTCCAGCAGCCTTTTCTGCAGGCACATTCTATAAGAAGTATGAAAACATCTCTTAGAAGCCTCCCAAATATCTTCACTACAAACCTCATGCAGGTTGCATGCAGGTTTGCACTTTTGCAAAATTTATTCTATAATGAGGAATTTGTGTTACTGTAATCTTCCATTCCTCCCCCCATTGCTTTAGTATCTTGGTGGTCTCTTGGTTTAACTTTCACTTTGCTATACTGCTACCATGAGCTCCTGTCTCATGTTGCTTCTGAACCTGGCGTTACAAATTTATCTCCTAACTTTCATCCGTCGGATTTTTAACAATGCTATGTGAAATCTTTATCGTATCGTATGCTCTCTCCATAGACATCCCTTCAACATCATCACAGGTATTTCTTTCAAGTCACTGTCTATATCTGTATCAGTTATCCTTTCTTACTCCACTATAATCTAGTACCTCCAGCAAAAACTCTCAACATTGACTTACAGTTTATTGTCTAATGCTCTCCCATTTACCCAAAAGAACTCTTCATTTCTTTTATGGAGTCCAATCCACGGGTCTTGCTTTGTTATCTTCATCATAAAACTCTGTAGGAATAAATCTGTATGAGAAAAGAAGTTTTTCACGTTCCATCTAGTTATCAAATGCAAAGACTTTGATCCAGGGCTAGAAAGCAAAACAATTATCTTGCCTTTCTCACAGAAGAAACAATATTAAAAATCAAATCTATAGAGTACTGCAGCATCTGGATCTTGTGCGATCCACATCACTGAAAGAGAACGTACAACTTGATCAGAGATCAAAGGGATTAATTGTGAGACAGGATCCCTGTAGCACTCAGATATTCTATTGACAGAAATGCCAACTAGGAGAATGCAAGCGTGCTACTGAATATTAAAGACTGCTATGGAACTGCAAATGCATCATTTCACTGTCTCTCCACAAGAAAGTCTTCAAAGAACGACGAACACCTTTGCAGCTAATGTATTTCTCCGTCACTGATATGTCTTCATCATACTGAGTTATTATTATCAGCTAGCAAGGATTTGTGGAAGAGATTTTAGAGATTAGTTAAGGAAGATCCTTGCCCCAGTGTGTGCAATAGAACTGATGTCTGCACCCAGTACACCCGTTATACTGGTGACTGTCATAGGGTTGACTGACCTAGAGAGAGGCTGTTTTAAAATATCCAGGTTTGTAACAGATATGGAAGAATATATTCTCCTAGGTCTTTGTGCTAGGTGCATCTTTCCTAATATTGTAGTATAATACAGAAAAAGATGCTCCAAGCTGTGGTTAGGGTAACTATCTTCCAACTCCAATGGTCAACACTAACATATCTAACGACTTGGTTCGCATTAACCTGTCTTGCTATGAGATAACAGTTGCCTAATTAAAGACAAATGAGAAGCAACGGTGTTTACCCTGATAGTTGCCTTCAACTGGAGTATTTATAGCTGTGAGCAGGACCAAACTGAACTCAGATAGGCCTCGGGCATTTTCTGAAATATCAGCTGCTAAAACTGATATTTGCTGTTTGCAGGGAGAGGAGGCACGCAGCCTCCTGCAAGCTGCGACTCGTCACAGTCTCTGCATCAGCCTTCAAACTGCCCAGCGTAAGAGGCTGGAAGAACTCACAGGTTTGTTGTGCAGCTCCCTAGAGGTGAGACGGGGTGAAACCAGGACCCCCTTTTTGTTCCCTTACCAGTTCCTGATGATTTTCGATCACCAAGAGGGAAGCATTGTGCGAAGAGCAGAGGCTCTGACTGTAGTTCCAGTCAGCTTCACTCTCCGAGAGGTAGTAGCACTTCCTCTGGAAATACAGCCAACCCGACGGACAGAGCTCCACGGAAGGACAGACAGGAAAATCTTTGGCCGAAGAACGGTTTACTGCGAAAAGATAAAAAACAATCTACCTATTTCTTCCAACTGGAAAAGGTTTCTGGAGCTTTTTAGTTTGCTTTCTGACTGCATCACCTGAAATCACCTAAGTCTAACCACAGCAATATTACTTCTGTCCAGCAGAAATAATTATTGTAAACTAACGATATACTCTGGCTCCTTATTGTTGCTGCCATACCTTTATAGTGATGATCAGGGGCAAGCTGGTAGAGGTAGCTAAGAAGGTGATAATAACGTATCCTCCAAGGACTCTTCTACAACTTAAGTATTTCTGACAACTATAGTTTTTGCAAGTGTTGCTTCCTCGCAGCTGAATTAATAGCTTTGTTTATTATAGCCTCATTTTTTGGAGGACTACAGATTGGCTGCAAAGAACAATCTTCCATTTGTTATCTGTTTTCTTGAACTTGGATTAAGACCAACAGCGAGGTTACGAACTTGAACGCCAGAAGTACACCAGGACTGAACTGAGCACTCCCTAATGCCACTGCAGCTAGAGAAGTCCTTTCTCCAGCACCTGACCACAGTTATAAACAACGTGTCATGAGATATCTATTTACCTTTGAGATAAGGCAAGTTCCGAACAAACCTTCTGAGGTTTTCACGGACTTCTGACAACCTAAAGCTCTGTTAATTTCCAAGGCTAATTGTATTTTCTTTTTAAATTATTTGCACACTTACCAAACTGAATACACAAAATCAAAATGACAGCAGCAGTAAGGACGCCGGCAACACCTTGCCATAACCAGATATTTGAGAATAGACCTGAAAAAAGAAGTGTGAGGAATTTAAAAAAAACACACAAGCAGCTGACAGGGGAGTAGAGCCCAGGACCCATTAAGCTTATGTTGGGGACAAATTTTTTAACAGGGCATGTAGTGACAGGACAAAGGATAACAGTTTAAAACTAAAAGAGGGTAGATTTATACTGGATATAAGGAAGAAATTTTTTATAATGAGGGTAGTGAAACACTGGCACAGGTTGCCCAGGGAGGTGGTAGATGCCCCGTGCCTGGAAACATTCAAGGCCAGGTTGGATGGGGCTCTGAGCAACCTGATCTAGTGGAAGGTGTCCCTGATCATGGCAGAGGGGTTGGGCTAGATGACCTCTACAGGTCCCTTCCAAACCAAACCGTTCTACGATTCTACAATTCTAAGCAGTTCCAAAAGACGTCGCTCTCCGTGGAGAGCTGGCCGGGAGCAGAGCTGAAGACCGGGAAGTGTGTGACATTTAAAAGCATTACAAAGCTACTTAGCTAACAAGTACTCTGAATTACTCTGAATTTTAATTACATCATCCAGAACTTAACCCAATAGCGAGGCAGGTCCCAACACTGCAAAGCGGTCGAAAAAGAAAGAAATGAGCATGGAACAAGGGTGAAGGCAGCAAGTTCGAGGTTGACCTGATGCCTAAACACGGCACGGGTAGGAGAAATAAGACAAGTCATCAGCTCTGGAGCCCCAAACTTCTCCTGAGGACCATCCACCCTCATCCCACAGCGACCGCTTTTCAGGGTCTCCTTCTCTCCCCAGCAGGCAGCTGGGTTAAAGGCGGGGAGGGCCCGC